AATGGAATCTGAATTTTGATGGGTTGAGATAAAAGCAATTTGTTACAATGTGTTTAACAGAAATATTGTTAATGGCTCTAACAGTAATTGAAATTGGGCAACGAGAGAGTTGAACAATGAAAAGCTTGCAAATTTCAGATCTGAATGATCCAATTGTTCTTTAAACTAACTACTTCTAGCTATTTACTGTTATATCATTTATTAAAACTCAAATAGTAGGCAGCTCTTCTCTTTTTATGACTTTCAGTATATAATTGAGAATCTGCCATAGCTCACTAAGATCTTTTTCGCAAAGTACTTTTTTTCCATAAGCAAAAGAAGCCGTAGGAATGCAAAAACGTATGTTAATAACCTGAGCTTAGTTTATATATGAATGTGTATACTTATAATATGCTATTAAGCATATATTATTATGATGTTAAGCCCTCGTTTCGTGGCTGTCAGATTAATGAATTTTAAATAGTTAAGATTTCGTCTCACGTTGCCATCTCTAGGCTGCGTGTAAGCAGCTTGCACAGGTATTTGGTAGTTATGGGGCGTTTGGCATTCCTTTATGTGTGCTCGCACACTTGCTGTGAAGGAAGTGTTTGGGCCAGAGTGGGATGTCTTTATGTATTGGTTGTAGCTGCTCCGGCAGCTGCTATTGCTACTGCAGCTGCTGCTGCTGCTGCTGCTGTTCCTGCCGTTGCTGCTGCTGCCGTAGCTGTTGTCGCTGTTCCTTCTGCTATTCTTGAATTTTATGCTTCCACAGGTAGTGGGCGGGATGGGCGTGGGCTGGTTTGCGGCTTCCTTGGCTGGATGGCTCGATTTAAGCTGGCTTCGTGCGGCGCCCTGGCGGGTGTAGCTCCCCGCTGTATGCTTAACGTGGGCGCTCGGGCACAATGCGTTTTGATTGATGTTGCCTGTTCGCTGGATGCTTCCTGTTTTGCTTCTCGCTTGCTTACAATCAATTTAAATGCGCCGTTGTGCATTGTAAAAAGTTCCTTTTTGCTCTTGTCGGCCAAATCGTTATGTGAGGCCACAAAAATGGAATAGTGGGACACACGAACACACTCACACATACACAGAGAAAGAGAGAGGGGGAAGCGCTCGAAATTGATGCTGTTTGCTTTGGTAGGTGTTGCACTTGCCACACAGCCCCAAATGCAACTTGATGCAGGTTTCCTTCTGTTTAGTTGTAGTTTCTGTTGTTGGTCTTGTTGTTGTTGTGTTGTGCTGAGCAAGCCAAATCATTTATCATCTTTATAGCCAGCTCTATGTGCACTGGGGCTAATCGAAGCCTGAATATCGGCTCTGGCTACAAAGGACAGATACAAGACTTTGTCCTTCCATAAATAACAGCAACACGAATCAATCAAGTCTCAAGACAGCCCAGCGGGAGGAGGCCGGGGAAGAAGAAGCAGAAGCAGCCGGGCATGATTGAAGCCAAGCATTATTCGGGTTCGCTTCAGATTTCAATTTGCAATTTCCTTTTTTGCGTGTCATTAAAATAAAAAGATATTATTGCTTGTTGCACTCGTCCAAATATATTCACATTTTTTGTTAAATAAAATAATAAATAAATAAAATGAAACATAAATTTATTATTTATTTATTATTTATTTAATTAAATGATTTCTTAAAAACTTTTTTCTGACAATTTAATAGAAATATTTTATATTGTTATAAATACTGTTATTAAATAATATTTGTTTGTTTTTTAATTATTTATTTATTTTATTTTGTCATTATCGAAATTAATAAAAGCTTTCACCTGGGTTTAAAAAACCAAAAACTCATTGATTTAGCGCTTTTAAATATTTAAGAAATTTTCCGAAATATAAAATTTTTAATAATAATATGTATGTCACATTTCTCAAAAATAATTGAAAGTATTAGTTAAATTTCATATTATTATTAATTTTTTTTTTTAACTTTTGTTTCTTAATAAAAGAATATATTATGAATGCGTAGTTTTCACAATTTTTTAATACTTACTTTAGGTAAATCAAATATGTATGTATATATTCACGCTCTCATATATACTATATGTAAAACATCTTTTTAAAATCCTTGTTTTAGTTGACATGTCCAAAGCTGTGTGAAACTTTTTGGGCTTGAATTTAAACATACATAAATTTAATAAACATTTTTATTCTTTGAATTTAGAAGAGGAATGCCTCTGCTCAACCATGAAGCCCTACTGTACATAAATATTCTTGAATTTGTATTCTTTTGCTCACAGACAGAAAACATAAAATATATTCTGAAGCATACAACCACAAATACATATATAAATATATATGTATATAGCAGTTGTCAATATGAAATCATATGTATTATTCATAATTGAAAAGTTTTCTGTAAATTATGTAAATTTCTTTTTAATACTTGAAGTATTTTTTAAGTGTATTTGAAATTGATTTGTGACCCACATTCATTGTTAAATTCTCTCAGTTTTTTGGTTTATGGTCTATCTTTTTTCTTTTTTTTTTTTTTTTTGGTAATTTCTATGAATGAGCACACAGAACTTTACCAACAAAAGTGCCAAACTGTCTGCAACAATCAGTTGGTCAATTTCTCAAAGTCAAAGCTCGCTCGAATAATGGCCTTAGTGCCCACCGCCCAGCGCCACGCCTACTTTTGGGTAGTGACTAAAAGTTGTTTGCTTGTTTGTTTGTGGCGTGCACTTTTAACTCGATTAACTATTTGCAAATATTCGAATTAAAGTCGTTTCTGTTATTTCCTTCTCCACTTCGTTCAGCTCGAGCTCTTCAAGCGATAATCAACTTCTCGCCTTCTAATTCCCAAGCGGCTATTGCGCAAATTGAATTGATGTGGCTCACTTGTCCGTTATCTTATTTTAGCCCAGTTAACTATGCGACGCACTCGAGCTATAAATAAATTCAACAAGTCGGAGTCCTTCTGGCTGTTGTGTGTGTGTGTGTGCCGTGATTGCCGATAAGTGATGATTGATTCCTCGTTGAGCACAGATGAATGAGTATCGTTTGCCAGCCGAATGAGCCGCCTCACATTGTTTGTTTAATTCAACGCCAGTTTATTAATTTAGCTACTTACAATCGGAAATTACTCAATGCTGAGCAAGAGAACAAGCGCGTAAGCTCCTAGAATCCCTTCCTTGTTGTTGTGTTTATTTTATGCCCGATGATAAATTTGTTTATTAATGTATTCAGTCTGCAAACGATGGCATAGTGATTCTGTCTGTAATTGAAACTGCGATTGGCTTTTTTGCTATAAGGACTTTTTCATCAATATGCTGCCTTAATTAATGCCACAGGAATAAAAAATTAAAATTGTGAGTGTGTTCCTCTCGGCAGCTTTCGCAACAATCAGAAAATATGGTATTTTAATGAGTTTATGCTGATTTGGTTTTTCATGCATTAGCGTTAATTAATATGTAGATATTCGTATTATATTCCTGAATTATATTTGATTTTGATATTCAATTTGAAAGAGAGAACGTTGACAAATGCATAAGCATATATTTTTTATTTATTTGTTGTCGTTTTTATTTTAATTTAATTTGAAATTTAATTCCCATAACTGAGTCTGTTCTTTAGTCAGCCTTTCTGACTTCTATTAATGTACACACACTGAAAAGAGAAATGCCTGAAGAAATTACTCTGATTTCCTACCCAACGATCGAATGAGAAACGAACGAGTGCGAAAAGAGAGTTCGGCCCTGGGAGAGTCGACAGTTGGCAGTCATATAAAAGCAAGTCTGCTGCACTGTGTCTTCAGTCGCTCCCCTCGTCTCTGGGTGGCCAGTCGGGCTGTGCTGTGCTGTCCACTTCACCTGTTCGTCTCGGTGGTAAATATTTAAATAGTTAAGTCTACTGGTATTAAATATTTTAAGCAGAACTGTAATGATATTTATTAAGCGTCATTATAAAATAATTATCCTTATTTTAACGGGGAAATTATCAATGAAATTAAATATTGAGTGTCGTCAAGCATAATTTCTCAAAAAGAAAATATATGTATATTTATTGTTCCTTATATTCCTAAATAAATATATAAATGTATATAATAATAATAAATGGTTCTACATTTGATAAATAATAAAAATAATTTAATAAAATAATAAAAATTTTTGTGTACACTTGGATTTATTATAAAATTAAGAATATATTGATTACCTTTGTTTTTTGTATTTTATTTTATTTTTTATTTAGTTAAAGTTGTTGCATATTTCATTATTTTGAGAGACTTTCTGTATATTTGTCTTTAAGCCATCATAAACTTGCTTATGAAATCTTATTTATTTCCTATTATTATAGAGAATACATTAATTCCAGCTCATCACACTCTGCTGTTGTCTTTCATCACTGTTTGTTTATTATAAATTCTTTTAAACAAAGCACCCAAAAGTATGCAAATGTTTGTTTTGTATTTGTTATCAATGCATATGATTATGCGATAGTTCGGTCGATTGCTCTTTATTAATTGTTTTCATTAAGATACCAAATTTGAATGGCGTTCAACACTTAAAAATAATAAAACAATGTTATTATATTTTCTTTTATAACATGTTGTATTCTGATACTGTTGCATTTATTTTATATTTTATTTGTTGTGAATTGTGGAGAATCTGTACATTAAATATGATTTTAAATATTGGCATAATTATTGCATCGTTTTAAATGAAATAAAAATATATTATATATATAACTTCTTGCTGAAAGCAAAGGGAAAAATGAATAAATATATAAATTTAAATTTCTCTAATTAAAATTTTTACTTACAACAAACAAAAACTTTGAGTTATCTGTCTTAATAAAATAATAAAATAATAAACAGTATATTAATAAAATTTTATTGATTAGAATTGCATTCAGCAAGATTTATATACTTGAGTGTATGCACATAAATTAATAAATATTGTACTTGTATATGTAAATAATAGCCCTTCAAATAGGCACTCACTGATTGAGCTGTTTTGCTGAACAACTTTGGGCTTTAGGTCTGGAAATAATAGTTCTTCCATGAAATGCACACGAGAGAGTGCTTGAATTTTGAAAAACCAATAACCGAAATGCTTTTAAGCTATCTAATTCAATGGGCTCTCAAACTGTGACCGCTACAGCAATTTGTCTCCCATTCGAGTTGAACTCGAATGCGCATTGCTCGCAGCCAAATGGCAAATTCACGCAATTAAACACCAAATTGAATTATGCATAGCAAATATGTGTGTATGTGTTTGTGTCTATGTGTGAGTGTGTGCGTGAAGTAAACAAATTGATTTTGATTTATTTATTTATTGATGCAATGTGTGCGCACGTTCTCAATTTTTGCAGTGCCAAAAACAGAAGCAGACCAACAACTGAAAAAAAAGGCGATTTCGTTGACCCAAAATGTCGGAGCTGAGCCCAACTGGACATAGTTGGTTGGCGCTGGCCTAGAAAATGTCAACGCCGTGAATCATGTGCTCTACGCATTGAGGTGGAGACACACACACATACAGATCGTTACACAACACAAAACAGAGCAGAGAACAGAGAGCAGAGCAAAACAAAACGGAACAGAACAAACACTATTACACTATACAACACGGTGCGAACTGTACAATGGTCATCCAGTGCACATGCGATTGCAATTGCAGTGATAGAGAGAACCGCAGCTCCTGTTTGCCACGCCTCACGCTGCGACTAAGTGCCACGCCCCTGGATGCTGGCAATGATATGGAGCATCGTTTGTCCTACTATCGCCGGCTATCGAATACCTCATCAGCGCTCTACGGCAGCTGTCCCCAATTGCTGCCCATTGGCCAAACGTGCCACAGCCACAGCCAGAATCAAAATCAGAGTCAGAGTCAGCTGCAGAATCTGAGTCGCAGCCTGGAGCAGCAGCAGCAGCAGGAGCAGGAGAGGGAGCGTGAGCTGAGGCCATACTCGAGTCTGGTGCGCACCAAGCACAGAAGCTCCGTGCTGTGCAACAAATGCGCTCTGTGACGAAGATACAACCTAAGCTGTGAGCATCCCGAGTCGCAACAACCGCAACTGCATCCACATCCGCAACAAGGCCGCAACAAACCAGCGCCAGCAAAAGAGACAGCCGCAGCTGCAGTCAGCGGCTCAGAGGCACGGCAGGAGACGGCTGCCACGCTCAGCACACCACGATATTTGTGTGCCGAGTGCCGATTTAACAACCAGCCGCTGGCCTGGTGGGTCTCATGTCCGCGTCTCTCCAATCTGCCCGCTGAACAGCCTCAAATGCCAACTCCAGCCATGCCGTCACAGCCAGCAACAGCTCAGTCACAAGCCCAGGCCCAGGCCCAGGGCCAGGCACAGGCACAAGCACAGTCCCAGGGCCAGGCCCAGACCCATCACTGCCATGCCCCGAATCCGGCCCGCTTTCCACTGCAGGCGGGCAGCGCCAAGCGGCATTGTGACAATTTTGGCAGTTATGCCACATTGCCCAACATCGAGCAGCAGCAGCAGCAGCAGCAGCAGCAGCAGCAGCAGCTCCATCATGCGCCCAGCTATGGGAATGTGGCCTGCAGTCGACATTGCGCGGCCTCTTCAATGCCGCCGCAACCGGAGCCACCGCCACCGGCGTCCAGTCTGCGCTGGTATGCGCCGGGCAGTGGCAATCCCAATGCCAATCTGACTCCCAATCCCAATCCCAATGCCTGTTGTTATGTTTACAATCCGACGCCCCACTACGCCCCCGAGCTCTGCGTTTGCGATAATTGGTATCACCAGCACCAGCAGCAGCACAGAGGCATCCCGCCGCCTCCTAAGCCACTTATGCCCAATGGCGGCTGCTACTTGGGTGAGTAATGAGCCTGCCCTGCAGCCGACTGCAATCCACTGCAGTCCGCTGCAGTCCGCTGTGCGCGCTGTTTTCTATTTAATCAACTTTCAATTGTCCATGCCGCAGGCTTTGACACTGCCCACCATCCCAGCCACATCACCGACGAGGAGGACTCGGCGTTTCCTGCACTCGCCGATCGTGAGTTCCATTTGCTGCATCGCAACATCCCAGCGCTGCGTCGCACGGGTGTGGACACAACACGCATACGACAGGTAAGCCGGCCCGGACAGCCAGCACGTCCAATTACAGCTCTAACTGCCTGTCAAAGCGAATAACTCTTGACTGACTGCATTTGCTCTGCACCACATTCACCACCGCAGTACTTCTACCCGGACGGCGGCTGGGGCTGGATCATCTGTGGCGTCTCCTTTCTGGTGCACATTCTCACCACGGGCCTCCAGCTCAGCTACGGCCTGTTGCTGTTCTACGCCGTGCAGCATTTGCACAACACAGGTGGCATAGGTAAGTCGAGTCAAACACGTACTATTATTGATATTATTCTTGTTTAAATTATATGTACTTATATTTTTAT